TTTTCCCAGGCGTCAAAAATATTCATAACGAGCTGAACACCCGCATCAGTTGTTGAGCGACCCCTAGTAAACCCATATTGCTTGTTATGTAATAAATTATGAGAGCTAAAATGCTGTAACATTTGATTCAACATGATTTTTTCAAAAATTTTACTAAGAGTTGGCAGTACAGAGATAGGTCCAAAATTATTGGGGTCGGAAGTACTACCAGATTTAAACACCGGAATGATTTTACTATGTTTCATAAGGTCAGGAAATTCGCCACGATTGATACAAATATTAAAAATAATAGCTAGGTAAGGTGATATTACATCAATAATAGAACTGATCACCTTAACCGAGATCCCCCATAGATCTGCAGTTCTTTTAACATCTAAAGTTTTAAAAGTTTTAACAATTTCTGTCTTGTTTACAGTAGTAAATTTAAAGTCTGACTTTACATTCCATAACATTCTTTTTTAGTAATGACTCAGCAACTGTCGGTGAGGAAAGAAGTGACTTGGTTGTTGAAACTGGAATGTCAACGAAAAATTTCTCGAAGAAAGTAGCAGCCTGTTGATTTGAGTTAATAGAATTATTATCATTAGTTAACATTAGGTCAGATTTGCGCTTCGTGACTCTTCCCGTTTCGCTATTAATTATTTTCCAAGTCATTTTGATTCTATCAGGTGCATTTTTTTTATTTTATTCCTAATATATAGAGATTTAGCAGTATAACAAGCTTTTTTAAATATTTTAGAGTAGGCACTAACATAAGAAACAAAACATTGACTATGATTGTATGTCCTTTCACTATAAAGTTCATACAATCTACGTCTACTATTATGAATTCCGACTGTTGCCCATTCATTAAAAACTACAGAGCTTTTAGGTTTGACTGTCTTAGGAGTAAATATAGTATTAAATTCCACTTTAATTAAATTAAATAATATGTTGTAAAGTGCATTGGGGCTATCATTATAAGGTAGATACGTCAGCTTTTTTGTTATATTACTTCTAAACTTCTCAACCCGAGTTCTATTTACAAGAACAACCATTATTTTTTGTACCTTAGCACTACTATTTTTTATATATGATTTAAAAGTGGCAAGTTGTCCGCAATGGTCTGAAGTAAATATATTAATAATAGACTTGTTAATTGGGTTACAGTTTGTAAATATGTTATCTAAACAAATTGCCGAAGAAGTAGTGATTCTAGTTGGTTCAAGGAATAAATTGGCAAGGTTATATGAATTTAACAATGATCTGAATCTAATAGAGGTGGTAGAATTTTCTAATAAATTTATATTAAAGTCACCACAGACAATAATATATTTATTAGACTCAGATAACTTCAACATCAATTCTTCCAAAACATTTTCAAAAGATTCATATAACGCACTAGGAGGTCTGTATGTACGCATACAACAATGAATTGCTCAAGCTCCACACAGGCTATTTCAAAATGAGAGAATATGAAGATGAAATGTTGTGAATATTTGACATCTATACATACAAATATACAATAAAAATGTAACTGATCGCTGTCTGTGCGTGGAAGTTATTTGAGAAAAAATATTATTCACCTTTATCAATGCAATAGAACCCAAAACAATGATTTTTACAATTAGTGTCGGTCTATTTGTCTGTGTGTTTGTGCGCGCTAATCTCAGAAACGGCATTTGGGTGCAACTTTCACTAATGCATTGTAGTAAACTTCACTTAATATTTAGTGTTAATTTTAATTAAATCAGTTCATAAAAAAGTATATCAATTTAAAGAACTACATTGAAAATTTGTGCGATAAAATGCTATAAAATAGCTACAGCTAAAGTGGATGAAACTATACTTAACTATATATTATTTCCCGAAAAAGGTTCCCTAGGTACAATTTTAAGCACGATATAAAATGTAGTAAATGTATGTGGTGCCGCACGCGAAAAGCTAGTATTGGAAATAAAGAAATTGGATATTTTAAAAACAATACATCGTCAAACATAAAACAAAATTTATTTTTACAGCACTTTTTTTTTTCTTGTTAGGTTTTCAATTTTAGTAGAAAACTTCGAAGATGAGTGATGAAGCGAATGTTGGTAGTACGTCGAGGAAAATTTCAGACGTCTAACTTCAGTTTGACCAGCACAGTTACTAATGTTTTTTAACTTCTTTCACTTATTGCTGCATACTTTTTACTACAGAATAATATTCTCTCATTTGATATTATTATAATGCTTACTTTGATGTACAATTGTGATATAAACACTTAAAATTAAAATTAAAAGATGATAAACACTTTAAATATTTTTTTTCTAATCTCTGAATTTAAGATAAAAATTAAATTTAAAAAAAATGGACAAAAAGTTTTGCGCCGCTTTGGGGATCGAACCCTCGTCTTCCGAAATCACGCCCAGGTGCTTTAGCCACTAGGCCAGCTTTAAAATTGTACCATGTTATTATTATTCGTCTAAAACTGATAAAATCAACATAGACTGAAGCCGAACTCCTGCTCTGTAATTCAAGTAGTTTTTTAATTATATTTCCTCTAAAGACCTCTTATACTTTAGCTCATTTACAATGTCTCGCTAGAATTTCTTTCTTATTTTAAATTTAAAAGTAATTATTCATTTATTCATTAACGTTTTAGGTCATTTATTTAATTGTAACAGATATTAATAAAACGTTTATTTTATAACAGGTAAAGCAAAAAAATCAAGGATGTTTTATCATTAATTAGGCTGTGAGTATTTAACAACTAGATATGTTGTTAAATACTGAGAGCATGTAGTTTCTTTACCTATTTTAATTTTCATTAAAATTTATTCAATATCATCACAAAAAAATATAGTGAAATCAAGTGTTCGTTAATTTTTAGTGCTAGTCTTTACACTTAAGATAAAAATTAAATTTAGCAGATAAAGCTAACGAAAAATTTTTCGCCACTGCCAGAACAGTCTGATTTGAAAAGAGAGAATAAGAAAAACTTATATAGATAAGTTTTTCTTATTCTCTCTTTTCAAAATGCCTGTTATCTTTATCGTTTATTACCAATTGTATTTAAACTTTCACATTTTTACTCTATAAGAATAGATAAAATAAAATTAAGATTTAAGTAGAGAAGAAGGGCCACGTAGCTTTTGCAGTTGCACGAATGGGCCGGCTCTACTGCTCGGCTTCTACGACCTGAGCGAAGACCAGCGTGAAGTGATAGTTTATACTTTCGCCTTACGTTTGGCGACGCAACACATCCGCAAGTTTATGAACAGAGTTACATCAGAATTATAGGTACCAATTTTTTTCAAATAATGTGAATAAATGTTTCAAAATAATCACAGATTTAATCTGCGATTATTTCAAAACGATCAAATAAACAACTTGTGTCAAGTATTTTACAATGTTATCAACGGCCTCGTTCTTTGTAGTGTTAAGATATAATGTCTATAGAAACATCAATATAACTAACTATGTTATTTAGAAAACAGAAAGTAGTGATGGGCTGATAGACGGAACATCAGTTAGCATTGCAATCACGACACACAGAGATTATTTGCAATTGCCTGCAAATCGCGCGTCAGCTTCATTGCCGGTCCCTCTAAAGCTATTTCTTTTCACTTTGATGCAACGCCTTAAAACGAAAAAATATGCGAGCACTTGTTTGAATTTCTTTATTATTTTGAACGTCATCATCTTCGTCGTTTGAGCCTGTTGGAGTCCATTGCTGAATGCATCCCCAACAGACTACCACGAAGCATGATGCTGAGCCATCTGCATCCACGGACTTACCGCACATTTGCACATGTCGAAACTCCATCTAGTGTGGCGTCGTCCTATAGGCTGTCGCTTGAGAACCTTTCGTCCCCCTTGGTTATCGGTTGTACGAGCTACATGGCCGGCTCAATGGCACTGCAGCTTACTAATCTTCTTTTAAAACATGTAATTGATGTTAAAATAGGTATACAGTTTCTTTAAAAAAAGAACCTTATCTTGGCAGTGGCTAAACCTGCCGTTCTAATATAATTATGTTTGATTATACCTTGGTTCATTATGCGTAATAAAATAACGCCATATATATAAGCATAATCACTGAGAAGGGATTCAATGACTAAAATCCCTCTGGTCGTATAAAAACACACTGACCAATGAATAACATTAGGCACTTTCATTACCTCATCTCTTGTAGTTTGCTGAAAGTCATTATTATCTTTGATATTTAGATAAACGTCCTTCAAGTCTTAAGCCATTTATGACATTTACGTCAAGATAACCTGTTAGCAAATAGACATACTATTATTCAAATTATATACTTAGCACTAAAATGAGGTAGGTAGTTTATAAATATTGACTTTAAAATTGCGATCATGCATTCATTCATAATACCCACATCTATTACCGATAAAATACCCCACACAATAATTATATCACTCACGAAAATCGAACATATTGCATCAACAAAACAGTATATTCAATGATAAAATTATTTATTGCTTGATATCAGTGGCATATCTCCATAATTCCTGCTGTAGTATAGCGCCAGTGCTCCAAAAACATATGTCGTCTTGTTGCGAATACAGATATAATATTAGGATACTAATTCATCCGACACAAAATTAAAAAAAAATAACAACTTAGAAATAACCATTACAGTGTTGTACGTCGATTTAATATATATAAATCGATATAATATAATACGTAACAGTGAGTGTGATTAATATTTTTTTTCTTTTTTCTGTGTGTGAGACAAAATGAAAATAACATCTGGAAACCAATTGGGCAATATTTTTGAAAGCATATCCGTTAAAGCCAGCAAACCGCTTCCAGAAAACAAGAAGTTAATTGACGTGTGCCTGTCATGGAAAGCTATTTTGGCTGAATTTATTTCAACGTTATTACTAATCTTCTTAGGATGTATGTCTTGTGTGCCAATGGCTGGATTTAATCCCCACCCACCCATGTATTCACCGTTTGCGTTTGGATTAATAGTTCTATTCAATATTCAAGCCTTTGGGCATATATCAGGTGCACATATGAATCCTTCTGTCACCTTAGGCGCTATGCTCTGGGGCAAAATGTCGATAGCACTTGGACTTGCATATGTCATTGCTCAATGCGTGGGTGCCATAGCAGGATATGGGATATTGATGGCTGTCGCTCCTGTAGACTTGGTGCCCGATGGGATTTGCACCACGCAACCTCACGCACAGCATACAATGCTCCAAGCTGTGGCAGTCGAAGTTATACTAACAGCTGCATTGAATTTCCTCAACTGCGCCGTTTGGGACCCGTCCAATGAGAAGTCGCTCGAGTCAGTTTCTTTAAAGTTTGGCTTCACAATAGCCGGATTGTCGTTAGCGGGTGGCCCTTTAACTGGAGCTAGTATGAACCCAGCTAGATCTCTTGGTCCAGCACTGTGGACAGGTACGTGGGATAGTCTTTGGGTCTATTGGATTGGACCGCTGCTCGGTGGATCACTCTCAGCGATATTTTACAAGTATGTCTGGCTCGATAACGGAGAAAAGGAATCGGTGCTAGAGTAGTGGTTGTTGTTTCTTAAGGAAAATGTTATTTTAGTTCAATACAATTGGTACCTTATAAAAATATATCATAAATGTTTATGCTTCTAAAAATAGCGGTGTACATAAAATCTTACCGGGTATTATAAAATTATTTTATTATTATTTTTGTACTATTATAGTTTTAACCTTATTAGTTTAAGATTGTAATTAAAAATAAGTATTATTTAATAATTAAAGTAAACATAATTTAATTCTATTTAACACATAAAATGTACAAAATTATGTTCAAAATGTTATTACAAAATGTATGCACAACTTGGTAACCTACATCATTTTTTGCTTTCAATTTTTGCACTCACACTACTCATATGTTTCAATACTAATGTAACATAATTTTACAACTGAACAAAATGACTATTCAAAGGCTAAAGTTTTATCATTTCAAATGTACATATGTGAGAGATTTTATGGTATTTTAAAACTTTACTTTTTACGCATTGAATACATTTGTTTACGGCTTAAATATGTGAACTGCTTAAGTTTACGCCAACGAGGTATGTATTTTATTTTTTGTACAGATATTATAGAAATAAGATGTATAATAATCTTTTTATTTCATACCATTTAAACTTACTTTTGCACTTCCATCATCTTTGATAATTTATATTAAATTAAACAAATGTGAAATGATTAAATGCAATTATATTCTATACTATTTATAATACATGATTGGCTGTGAGGATTTCAGTTCAAGCACCTAATAAAATAAGAATGAAGATATTTTCGGTTATGACTTTGTAAAAATAACTTCTTCGGCGAGAAAACTAATAGTGCTGGTTTAATTTTTGTTTTATAACTTTAAGAATGCATCATAAAGGGTTTTAGCTTTTTATTGACATACAACTCTTTCAACGAATGGTTAAATTCATGAACCGAGAAAGAAACTATTTTATAGAACAGGTTTTGCTAATAACTAATCAATTTTAAGTGATACCTTTGTCCATAGCTTTTATACTAGTGATAAAATTCATAAAATCCTCGTTGCAAATTTTACTGAAATATAAGGTGTATACACGTACAAAAATTTGGTAAATGTAAATAACTTTAACTCCGGCGTAATTCAAATCAAATAAATTTTAAACGATAGAGAAAACTCACTTATGAATTTATCAACAAGCAGAATTTGGCGGTCGCTTATAGTTTTCGAAAAAATAAATAATGAAATAGTGTGATTTTTACTATAGAAATCCGCCATTTTTTGTTGTCAATATGTCAATTCAGCTCGTATTTCTTGGTGGTCATAAAAAAAAAAAAAAACCCTAACATCGAAGGTTAAGGCGGGAGCTCCGCTCCCGCCTGAACCTTCTAACCTAATCTATCCGAGTCGGATTCGCTCTGTGTCGGTTCTGTGACTCATTAAATTTAAAAAATCGGAATATCGATACGTGTATGATGTCGCCCGCTTCCTATATTTATCATGTTGGCAGAACTGTGTAAAGAACTTTTGAAGTCAAACGAATAAAATGGTGGATTTCTTAGTACAAAAAACAAGTTTTAAATATTTTTTTTCTCGAAAACTATAAGCGACCGCCGAATTCTGCTTGTTGATTAATTCATTAGAGATTTATCTCTATCGTTTAAAATTTATTTGATTTGAATTACGCCGGATTTAAAGTTATTTACCTTTACCAAAAATTTAACCATTTTACAATATAAGAATACAAAAAGTCTGATAAATTTTACAAAGTTTTTTTACAGCAGTCAAAGGACTAGCAGGCGTGTTATACGTGTTAATTTTAATCTAGGCTATCGACTCATAGTGGTTCCGCTTCTGTCACCTTCAACCTGTAAAATTTTTGACAGTAGTGAAGGAGAGAAAAAGAAATAAATTCTCTTTATTTAATCATTATTGTTTGTTACAGCTTATGCTATAAGGAAAATAAGATGTCTAACTGATGTAAAAACAGCTAGAATTGTGTATTTTAGTTACTTCCATAGCATAATGTCATATGGTATTTTGCTATGGGGGCACGCGGCCGATATAGAAACAATTTTTATTTTGCAAAAAAGGGCCATAAGAGCTATTTATAATCTAGATTTGAATGCATCTTTGAGAGAGAAGTTTAAAGAAATAAATATATTAACCTTAGTCTCTCAATATATATATGAAAACTAAGTGCTGCCCGCGACTACGTCTGCGTAGAGGGGTGAAAATTTAGGGTTTTATGTATGTTTGTATACTGTATCATAAAAAAATAAAAACAAAAAATTTTGTCCAAAGATTTAAAAAAAATGTTAAGGGTGAAAAACCCTTAACACTTAGGAGAGTGAAAAATAGATAGTAGCCGATTCTCAGATCTACTGAATATGCATAAAAAATTTGGTAAAAATCAGTAAAGCCGTTTCGGAGGAGTAAGGTAACTAACATTGTGACACGAGAATTTTATATATTAGATGTTATGTATGTGCGTAGAAATATTAATAATTTTGATAAGAATACTGATGTACATAATGTAAACACTAGGACCAAATGGGGCGGTATATACGCTTTTACAACAAAATCCCAGTAAATGCACAAAACCTGCCTATTAACAAGTTTAAGGGAATTTATTAAAGAAAAACTTTATAAAAAGATTACAATAACCCCTGGGAATGAGTTGATCGCTCCCAAGCTATTTCTAAAAGGAAAAAAATAATCAGTTGTATAATACTTTTATTTTTTTTTAAGAAAAAAATTAATTACAAAAAAGAGGATACCTACGGAGTTTCCGTTAGAGGAACCTCATTACGAAACGGTGGTAGATTTAAAAAAAATATAGTCATATTTTCTGATAGATGAAATATAAGTTTCTTATGTCGATGAATAAATGATTTTGATTTTGATTTTACATATTATACAAGAACGTACATAAAAATAAATATATTTCTTTGTCAACATTATTCTTGTTTATCAAACCTGACCAGTCTTACATTAAATATTTTGTAATCAGAGACAAATCATTCTTTAAGCAAGTTAAGGAATTTTCCTACACAGATAAGGATAAATTTCATAGAAAATATTATTATGCGTTGAACATCAAATTACAAATTCGCTTCATTCTTGCAGTCATTATATCATGCTAAAAATAACATAATGTATAGTGCAAGATGTCTTTAACTAAATATACAAATCTTGCAGAAAATTATTCATAATATAACTTAAATTTACTTCAAATGAAAAAACGCAATTTACATGATACAAAACATTGAATACTAATACTTATCAGCTGTAAAGGTAAATAAATACTGTGTATACGTTAATAACATTTTAATGTGTGCAATAAATAAAAACGTGATGGAATCTTGTTTAAATTTACATTGAGATCGCTTAAGTTGTTTGCAGTACTAGCACACTATTTCAATTTTTTTAATATGTCATCATTACACCGCTTATGTAAAAGAACATTAAGAAACCGGCCAAGTGAGATTCGAACTCGCGCACCAAAGATTCCGTACAAGCCTGGTGGTTTACATCTATGTAAATAGTCCATTATTTCTATATAGATAAATAACATTTATGTAAATAGTCCATTATTTCTATATAGATAAATAACATTGGAGTATCTATTTGTAACATTAAAATATCCGCTTTTACCTAAATATATATGAATGAATACTCGGTACATATACCAAAATAGCTTTTTTTATATTTGTCTGTCTTTCTCTCTGTTTGTTCCGGCTAATCTCTGAAATGGCTGGACCGAATTTGACGGACTTTCACTAGCCGATAGCACATGTAACAAAGAATAACTTAGGCTACGGTTTTCTTAGAATTTTTATATAATTTTCAATTCCACGCGGACGAAGTCGCGGGCACAGCTAGAAATAAATAAATAATAAGTAGGTACTTAGTTTAGCTTTGAAATCATCTATTTTTAAAAATTCTATTGACTAATTATGTCTGACGTTGATTCAATTATTTTTCAATATTATGTCAGGCTTGTTTAAAACCTTTCTGGAATTCGTGTTACAATATATCATTAAACCTAGTTCAGAGTTGAATAATATGTCTAGCCGCTAGCCTATTACATATTATCTACTTCTTCTTTCTTCTATACTACCTATAATAAAAATATAACTGTCTGTACATGGAAGATATTTGAAAAAAACTATTATTGTAGATCTTTATCAACGCAATAGAACCCAAAACAATGATCGTTAAAATTTTTTTCTGTTTGTCTGTTTATCTGGGCGTTTGTGCGCGCTTATCTCAGAAATGGCTTAACTGATTTGGATAAGTTGTATATCTATTGCTTCTACAATAAGCTTCACTTAACATTTAGTGTTTATTTTATTTATATCGGTTCATAAATAAAACAGGTATATCAACTTTAAGAACCACATTGAAGATTTGTGCGATAAAATGCTATATAAAAGCTACAGTCCAATTGGATGAAACTATAGTTAACTATATATTATGGTATGTAAAATAATGATGATTTTAAGTTTATATTTTTATTTATTTTATTTTTTATTTTATTTATTTAAAAACACTGCCCTTACTTTAGGATAATATTATCCTGTGTTGTAAGGACGTTTTACAAACATAAATTTCACGCGGAACAAACACCCAGATGCGAAACAACTATCTGTGGGTCACACAAATAGTTTCCTGTGTGGAAATCGAACCCACGACCCCCGACGCTGAAGCAAATACTTTAGCAACTGCGCCACGGAGTCATCGAATAAAAAATCGATATAAAAAATCAACCAAGTGCGAGTCGAACTCGCACACGAAGGTGCGCCGCGGCGGGTCGAAATATTCCGCTTCGTGCTCTCGTACGGAACGGACGTCTCTCTAAGACGGAGGGCACATGCCACCCGAATTAGACGCTACTCGCAACTTTGGTTGCAATTTAAATATTTGTGCAAGTAGTGCGATAGTTTAGTGTTATTGTAGTGTTGTGCTCGTAGGCAGGTTCCTGTCCGTAAGTAGAATTCTACACACATTTCTCGCCTCAGAGGCGGCATTGCCTGAT